TCAATGAGATCATTGTCAGACCCCCGGAGCCGCCCATATACACCAAGATCTGATTGTACAATATCAGAGTCACCGAAGCGATATAACGTGACGGCGTTCCGTATAACCCGGACCATACACATCCGTATATCTAACAGAGATTGTACAATCGGATTGTAGCAGGTAGCGGCTACTATGACACAGTAAAGTCTCCTCGGTGTGCCTCTCTGATGCCGGTTTCACGTTGTCCTTTGACTTGATAAGCCCCACCCTGCGTTCAGGGAAAGCACCGCAGCAGCCTATAGGGCAGGCCTAGCAAACCTGCGGCCCTCCAGCTGGGGGGTGAAACTACAAATCCCACGATGCATCTCTCTCCGGGAGTCGTGTCTGTGAGAATCTTGCAATGCCTCGTGGGATTTGTAGTTCCACCGCAGCTGGGGGGCCGGAGGTTTGCTACACCTGCTATGGCGTGATCTGGTGGGTGGGGCTTAGCACAGGGGGCAGGGCTTAAAGATCAGGAGTGTCCAAGTGAAACCAGGATCAGAGGATCTTCTGAGTGCAGAAAGTAACGGCAGCGCCTTGTAGTGTCGGCTCTTAGGGAAGGTAAAGAGGATGACAGGTCCCCTTTAAAGATGGCGCGTGTACTCACAGCTGGTGCGCTGGTTGCGATACTTGTAGTACATGTAGAGGGAAAGCATGAAAATGTCCGCCAGCACGTAGTAAATCGCCGTGTACGTCTGTAGGGGAGACAGAAGGGAATGAGGGGAGGAGGAGGTGGAGTCATCATGCAATCAGGAGGTGGGGCTATCATGCAATCAGGAGGAGGAGTTATCATGCAATCAGGAGGAGGAGTTATCATGCAATCAGGAGGTGGGGCTATCATGCAATCAGGAGGTGGGGCTATCATGCAATCAGGAGGTGGGGTTATCATGCAATCAGGAGGTGGGGTTATCATGCAATCAGGAGGTGGGGTTATCATGCAATCAGGAGGTGGGGTTATCATCCAATCAGGAGGTGGGGTTATCATGCAATCAGGAGGTGGAGTTATCATGCAATCAGGAGGTGGGGCTATCATCCAATCAGGAGGTGGGGTTATCATCCAATCAGGAGGTGGGGTTATCATCCAATCAGGAGGTGGGGTTATCATCCAATCAGGGGCTCATTCACACAAACGGAAAAAAGAAAAACGTTATATTGATATTATTTTTAGTTGTGGATTTGCTGGGATCCTCGTTCTCTGCGACGAGCGCCACGATTTATGAATGAAGCCCGCACACAGTGTGCACAGGCTTCATTGTAACAATACACGGGGATGACTCCGCCCCCCTCACCTGGATAGGAAGCTGATTTGACAGGAAGGCCCCCACAAAGTTACACGTGTCACCCGCCAGCCACCCCAACAGGAACCAGATGGAGAGCGCCTCGTCCATGTTCCCCGTCTTACACGAGCGGAAGTACTGCCTGGAAGGAGAGAAGGAGAGAAGGCGGGTGATGGCGGCCCCGGGGCCGGATTCTGGACATACATTTACATCACGTGGTGAGAATGTACAAAGGTTCCAGCCCGGGCACTCCGTGCAACGTGACGGCTGATGTCAGCACCAAACTGTCCACGTCAGCGACATTCTCACCCCGAGTGACACCGATGGGGAACCTCGGAGCCGAGTCAGCGATTGGCTACTCACGGGAAGGAGGCGGCGACGAAGCACAAGATGGAGAAGAGCCCCAAGACGACGCTGGCCAGGTCCCGGCCGTCGGACGCGCACTCCCCGAACGCGTTCCACACCCACTCAATGCCGCGGGGGCAATCCGAGAAGTTCCGGGGGGGCGACGGGACCGCCAGACCCCAAGATCCGCGCCAGGCGTCCATGGTGTCCCCTAATCTGCAACCACACGGACAACAGCGCTACAGTATATGTCAGAGCTATATACATGTATAATAATAGCGTGTGACTGGGGGAGGGGGGACATTAGAGTGTAAGCTCCTCTGTACAGAGACTGATGTGACTGTGGGGAGGGAGGGGACATTAGAGTGTAAGCTCCTCTGTACAGAGACTGATGTGACTGTGGGGG